GCCAGCCTCTTCTCCGTGGTGCCCAGCAACAGGACAAGAGGCAATGGGCAGAAACTGAACCACAGGCAGCTCCATGTGAACCTGAGAAAAAACTTCTTCACTGTGAGGGTGACAGAGCACTGGAAGAGGTTGCCCAGAGAGGTAGTGGAGTCTCCTTCCCTGGAGATATTCAAAACCCGTCTGGATGTGATGCTGGGAAATATGCTCTAGAGGACCCTGCTTGAGGAGGGAGGTTGGACTAGATGATCTCCAGAGGTCCCTTCCAACCTCAACCATTCTGTGATTCTGTAGCACCTGTATCAGGAACATAATCATGCTGTTCTAGGGACTGAATAAATTCAATTCATGTCAAAAGTCATTTTTAGTATGTTAAAATTTTTTCTCCTGTGGTATTCTAAAATTTTACCCGGAACGTGTCTTAGCACCCCACTTCAAATGAACTGTTAAAATTGATAAAATGCAGTACAATATTTTGCAGTGCCCTCTTCTGTACAAATTGAGTACTGCAAGCTGAAAAGGCTGAAAAGTTGTAAAAACTGATCTCTATCAGTACTTTGCTTTTATTTCTATTGTATTGAACATGGATACTTTTTCCCTTTTATAATTACATACATACTTACATATACGCTGCTGAAAATGAAGCACTATTAGTATTTTAATAAAGCTATTTAATTTAGCCACACCTCCCTTTTATGATCCCAGACTTTTTAATTAAATTAGGTACCACGAAATAAGCAGAGAACTCATACCATCTGAAGTTTTGATCAGGGTACTTGTACATGGCATGACAGGCAAAAAATACATTGATCTTTCAGGTATAAAAAGGCAGATCATGTAAAAAGAGATTTGTGAAGTTTTTCAATCTGTCAACCGTGGGCTCAGAAAGTACATAATGTACTGTTAAAATCTCAAAGTAACACCAAATGTGTTACAGTAGGCAGTATTCTAGCACTTCGGAAAAAAAACTCAACATTGCAGCCACATTACTACACTTTTGCTTAAACATACAAGCAAAATATCCATGTTCACGTCCACTGCACATGCTATGACCTCCTCTAGCGTTAAGGAGTTATTTACTCCTTTTTGCTCCAGCACCAGCAGAAACAGAGTTGGATCACTCTTATGTTATAAAGGCCAGTATTACCAAGTAAGAAATTTCCCTTAAATAGGACAGAATGAGAAGCAACTGACAGAAGTAGAAGCCCGAGACTTGTAGCGTCACCTGCATAACTGAAACCAGAAAAAACATCTTGAGCACTAGGCAGGCTTTTATAATGCTATGACAGAAAAGCAATTCTGCTCAAGGACAGGAATCAGTGATTTACTCCCCACACAAGGCAAGTCTTTGGCCTGAAATGCTGTACCTGACAAACGCGCACTGTGCTAACAAATGCACAGTGATATCTTTTGGAATGATGTTTCTGATCAGCCACATAAAGTAAGCCCTGAATGGAAGTATAGAGTACCTCAAGGTTTTTTCCTACTTTAAACATAATTCTGACAAGCTGCTTCATCTAATTTTTCTACCATTCAGTAGAAACACAATATAAAGAGTGGATAAAATTGGAGTACAGAGCAATAAGAGAATTCAAATCTATAAATCACAATGCATGTGTTCTTACTCATGTTTTACTTACTGCAAAGCTAGAGAAGAACATAAATATTCTAGTATCTCTTGTGTGAGCAAAGAATAGCATTTATACTACTTACACTGTAATGAAACAACTGTCACAGCCCAAATTGTTAAAAGTAAAGCTCAGGTTCAAAAAGACAAAAACCACAAGAAATCAAAAATAATGAAACAGAATTTTATTCTATATTAACCTATAACCAGTGCCTTGTCATCCTCTGTTTAAAACGATATAGTAGACCAAGAGGTGGATATGGATGAGCAAGGATTAGAATGGCTTCTACAGAAGGAAAAATTAAATAGTTTAGGAATCTTCAGCCTTAAGAAGAGAGAACTGGAGTCTATGCAGATAAAAACATGAGGAAGATGCATAGCATGGGGAAATCCAGAAGGGACTGATTACTTGCCTTATCTCAGAACGTGAAAGCTAGAAGACACTCAGCAAAATCATCATCCACAGGTTTAAGAAAAATAAAACTACAGATGAATAACTAGTTATGGGTCTTACTGCCGCAGAATGCTGAATGTTATAAACAGGTTTAAGAAGGAATTGGACAAAGTCATGAAAGGCCATTAAGCAAAATAATCCGGCTACAGCTTCTACCTCAAAAACTTCTTAAACTCTATTGCCAGAAAGGGGAGCTAACAGGGAGAGACAAGCCTCTACATGATTTCATCTTTTCTTTCAATTTTTTGTCATCTGTTACATGCTACTGTTGGAGAAAAGGCATTAGGTTGGACAGTAATCGTCTAACCAAGGACATATATTCTCATGTTAAGGCACATAAGTCTTAATTTTAAACATCAAGAATCCATCAGTTGTTAAGTCCATAGCTTAAGATTCAAGATTACCTACCCCTTGCTAAACTGCTCTTAGAAGCTGAACAGTAGCTCCAAGAGAGGCAGGAACAATTTTTCTTGCGGTAAGAACACAAACTTTAACTTCAGTATTTCTGGATCTCACTCACTAAGTGGTTAAAAATAGCATATGGATACATTGCTGGGTAATTTTAGCTCTTCATAAATTATGAGGCATTTTCATTAGACATAGAACAACACACTGCTGCTCAGCCTTTCACTGCTTCTCCCCAACAGGTTATAAGTGCCTGTCCACAGATCAGGAAAGCGTACATAGCAAAAGTTTTATAGTACCTTTCCCTTACAGCAGCACTAAGTGCATACACGCAGTTTCATCTATTTAACTTCATCAACTTTTAGGAAAGACAATTTCAAAACACTTTTAAAATGTATTCAACCTGAAGCTTTCTGTCTTGATAACAGTGGGAAAAGGAATCAAGATAACCCTTGGCCAAATCTCTGTGGAATACCAGTCACCTTTACCACAAGTATCAGGAACACTGGGAATATCTAATAATAAAATCTGAATGCAGAAGGAAGAGGAACTAACAAATCAGCTAAGAAGAGTAATAAATGCCACTATCTTGAAAGCCCTATAAGAGATGCAGCATAAAGGACAGGCCACTCTCTTCCCTGAAAGCATTTTTCCTGTGATCCTATCTCACATTTGGGAGGGCAGGGGAGAATGGAGTTGCCCACCCTTTTATTCTCTCCTGCTGGCCCCAATTTTGCTTCATGCCCTTACTTAGTAATTGTGATAGGGCTGCCATGATAATTTCTACCTTGGTCAGTAATTCAGCTGAAACTATTATGGGGTGTGTGTGTGTGTGTGTGTGTGTGTGTGTGTGTGTGTAAATAGAATATTTCTCATTTTTGCCATTTCTCATGTTGTCTTGGCAGTATAGCCAGAGATTAGGGTTTACCTTTTGTCTGCATACCTCAGCACAAACTGAAAGGAAGGGTAACCAAAAAAAAAAAAAAGTACTATTCAACCATGTCAGGATTGCCTCTGCTTCACCCTGGACACTACAAACGTATAGGTAAAACAGATATATTTTTTTAAATGAATTCTTACACAAATTCAGAACTGCAGAAGAGAAGCCAGTATTTTATTCATGCATTTTAATGACAGACCTGTACTCATAAAGATATTAAAGTAGCTTTTATTAAAATAAAAATAAATTCTCTTTATAAATATCGTTACCGTGTACACATAATTCTCAAATACACACACTGTAATATTCAAAATCAGTAGTATTTATATAAAATACAATATTAGTCTTTAATTGCATCATTTTATACAAACATACATTATTTTGTAGATCTAAAAAGGCTTGAATGATTTTGTTTTTCAAAGTACAGAGCGGTATTTACATGCGAACATGATCCAAACAGCACATGCAGATTCAGGGTATGTAAACACTCGTACACGAACTGCAAGTCTCACTTGGTCTCCTCTACAACAGATTATTTCTTCACAAAAAGGAGACCTATTTACAAAAAGAAAAACGAGAACAACAGATAGAATACTAAGTTATCATTAAAACTTTCAGGTACAGATGTGCAGCTATGTCAAATATGACTAACCAACACTTCAATAGTAACGTGTGTCAGGAGTCTGCCGATATGTATAATGATACTACTCTATTAGCGTCAAAGAGCTGTTGTGCCTTGGAGGAAACCAAGGCCACCCCTGATCATTTTTAAAAGTTCAGAGAAATGAAATAAAATATATTTTCAGGAGAGAAAGCAATATGTTGTTCATTCTTTATTTAACCCACGAGAAGTCTATTATCAATGAACTCACAAATGTAACATGAAAGCTCTGTACCCCATGACCTACTGCATGTGCCACACAACTCTCCTTCCAGTTCTAATACAAGGAAATTGATTTCCCATTATCAAGGAAGAGTTGCAACTCATAATTAAGTATTACTACTTGGTTTTACACATACATATTAGATTTACATTTAATCTTACCGAAGGCATGTGGCAAATGCTCTCCTGGCATTTCTGTACACAAAATGGATAGGAAACCCTTTAAATGTGTGACCATCAGGTACTGCTCTTCTTACAGCATCCTGAAACTCTTCATTTCCTGCAGAAATGCTTGTTGTCCGTTCAAGCTCATAGGCTGCTAATGCTGGTGACAACAGGTAGGATAGCTGGTCATCCCAAACAGTAGAAAGGCCAAGATCCTGTGAGGCAAGTCACAGAATGATATGATGACTGTAGTGCAGAATGAATGTTAAGATATTACAAACTTTGCATACTGTATAGATTAAAATAAATATATGACAAATCTTGCATTTGTAGTTAATGGAAGTAAACCCACAAAGCAGTAAGATTTGGATATTGATTCACAGTACCGAGCCAGAAGAAACAAAAACAACAGAAACAAAGTATCAAACACTTAGCAAGAAAGAAAGTCAGACTGCTAGACTAAAAGGAGACCAGTAGAGTTGAAACTAGATGTTTTAGCTACAGCATATTTCTGTGAAACATAACATAATGTTAGTGCATAAATATGCAGCAAAAACATGGAAAAGCACTAGACTCACCTCACTTGTTACAGATTCTTTTTTCAAAAATGGATTACCATGAGAAAAAAAACAGCTCCCTCAAACACATACACACACACACACACACATCCCCCTGCCTCCTGCCACCCCACAAATGCAAACAAGTGGAAAAATCCACCACTTAAGAGGCCAGTGTTGAATGAATAAACATTTCTGGCACACTACGTTAATGTAAAAATCATGACAGAGGAGGAAATTAACTTCTAGAAATATCCCTAATTTTTAGCTTTGTAAAGCAGTCAGAATAAGATTATGAAAGCTGACAGCTTGCTTTTATTTATGGACTAAAACATTTGTGATGGATACAGAGAGCCTGCTGACGAACAGATTTGATCTTAGTTCTTTTACAGGTCACTCATAGGCAATCTATAGATGCCAGTAAGCTGAAAAATCACAGACCTGGAAAGAGAGGGGAAGGCAGAGGGGGAAAGCATCCACACATCTGACTACCGAAGTGCTAGTGCAAATAGTAAATACAAAATCCGAACTAGCGCAGTACAATCTTTCCAAAGTTTTTTCCCCAATTATTTGAATGTTCACACACATTTCTGCAAATCTGACGGAGACCACATCGCAAAGATGTATTTAAACCAACATACAGCTATCCAAAACAAGTGCACAGTAAAAACACAAACCCTTATTACCTCAAAAGATCAATGAAAATCTTCAAACAGTATTACCTTTCTGTGTTCTGAGACTAGTATTCTCAGCTGCAATTCTATCTCATTGCTTGTTATTGCAGCATCTATTGTGGAAGCACAGAGAGGAGGAAAAGGAGGAATTGAAGATATTGTTCCAGGGGAACACACAGATTTTATTGCTTCTCCGCTCATGGGTTTCCATTTAGATTCATCTTGCAGGTCAAACACGCAGACCTCCACAGCATCAGAGGGCTGACAGTTTCCAAAGAACTTTTGATGGTTGAAGACACATCCTATGGTGCGATAAGGATACAGTGGCTTGGGCTGTTCAGCTAGTGGAGGCTCATCAGGGCTGATAGGACGGTGGATGTACCTGATCAAAAACATTCAAGTTCTTACCAATACACATTATTCCAAGGCAAGGTAAAAATATTTAGACAGGACAGAAATAAGTCATTTCTCCTTTTAAAATGTAAACCTAATAGGTTTTTCCCAAAATGGCATTTGTTTCCAAAAATTAATTACGTACATTTTGGAAGCATAATGTACAATGAAATAATACATCACTTTTTCTTTAATTCTAGAAAAATAAGCTGATTAGCTAAGAACATGTTCAATAGCAATTACATTTTGCAGCTACAACAACATGCCCATACAGTTTCCCCACTATCCATCATATTTTGAAAAAAACAGCTTCAAACGCTAATCATAGCATATACAAACAGTGGGAAAACAGAGCGCATCTTATTTTCAGCACTCTACATTATCAGCTACTTTCACAAAGCCCAAACCTTGTATTCAAATATATGCCCCCACTGTAGCTTTACCAATGCAAGAACATCACTGCCTGAAGCTAAATAATAACAATAAAAATATGTTTCTAAAGGCAATGCTTCAGATGGCACTACAAAGTACAGTGGGATGGACCACAGCGCTCAATAGCATCAATTAGCTGGAAGTTCTTCACTTGAAGTTCTGAGCATTTTTTTATTCTGATATGAAAACTGGAATTGAGTACTATTCTATGCACTTGAGCAATATGCCATGCAAAATAACAAGACAGGAAAGAAATTTAAAAAAGCAGGTTCCAGAAGTTCTAGAACACAGAACAACATGTGCCCTTCTAAAACAATGGAAGTGAGAGAGAGGCTCAGAGAACTAAGATTTCTTCAGGTGAAAAAGTAATGCAATGCTCATTTCACAGATGAAATAAGGAGAAAAATATGGGTTCTTAAGACAATCACATCTGATTTCATCTCCATCATCACAAACGCTAGCAGTGATAGCATTGTTGAGCAATCAGCTGCCATAAGAGGCAAAACAGTTATCATGCTGTATTAAAGTCACCAAAATATACTACAAACTGATGAGGTATTTCATCTCACACTGAACCAGTTATTTTCCAAAGAGCAGTAGTTAGGACAAAGCGTCAAAGAGAGAGGTCATCTGGATACTTAGCAACGTTAGTGTTAAAAAAAAAACAAAAACAAACAAAAAACCCCCCCACACACTCAACCCCCACCCCCAACCTCAGTATACATTTTTTAGTTTTATTACATTCCATTTACTCACCTATGTCCTGTTAAGCTTTCCCAAAACGTGATGGTTCCATCAGTCCCACAAGTCATAACCCAAGTGTGAGGGACTCCTTTTGCTTTTGTTCCTACACACACAAAGGCTTCCAAACCATATCCAAGGAGAAGACTGCACAGAAGGTTAGCATGATCTTCACAGTCACCCTAGGCAGTGAATATTAACAAATGGGTTTGAGCATGAGACACAGACAAAAAAAAATATTGAAGACAGCAAAGCATGACAGTTTTCAAGTAACCCTTTAACAAGTCACGTTTCCTTCTTGCTTACCTAAAACACATAGCAAAAGTCAAGACTTCAAAGTTGAAGAAGTTAACTATCTGGATTATTTTTGTATATACTATGTTGGAGTGAATCAGCCTGCTACAGTTTCCAAGACTGCTAGAGAAGTCCAGCAGACAGATAAGAGCTACACATAAACTACAGCAGGGCAAGTCTAGGCACGAGACCAACCAGTAGGTTTCAGATCTACTGCAGAATGACTATTTACTAGGGTGTGAGGCTAGCAATACTTCTCCTTCCATTTTTATACCTTCCTTATTCTTTTGGTCAGGGCAGGAAAAACAGTCGAAATCATGGTTGTTTCTGATAACCATGTAATGTGAACACTAACTGTGACAACCTAGACTAAAATCTCCATACTAATTTTCAAATAATCTTATTATCCCACACCGGTGGCTAGTAAGCTTCTTTTAACACAGTAATGACTTCTTCACTTGACAAGTCACTACCATCACTTCTACGCAGAATCTAGTGGGTAGCTGAGAATATGCCTTTATAAGGTATCTATGAATGACCTAGGATGTAGAGACAGTAGCTAATACCTAGTCTGTGTAGTCTTTGAGGAGGTCTAAAAATTGGGATACAGCCTCTACTGCCAAAAAGAATAGATCTTTTTAATATAAGCGGAAATATTTTTGAAAGCAGAAGTATTTCAGTGGTGATTAAAAGGACTGATCACCCCAAAGAGTGATTAAAAGGAATAAATACTGCTTTATTCATACAACAGAAGCGATATAATCCACAATGAGCTACAATTTATGTTCCATTTACTATAGTCATATGATACGAATGTCTGATACTAACAACTAGGATGAATTTTTCAGTGGAAATCCCTATATTGCAAAAATTGAATATTAAGATTTACTGACAGCATATTTTAGCACATCCACAAAACGACTATTTTTCAAAAGAGACTTTTCCAACTCTTCCTGGATTACTCCAGAATTTAAAGTTGTGGCCTGCATGCTAGCAGGGATTCATGGATGAGACCTTAGAAAAGCAAATGAAGAAAAGCAAGCTTATTGTCAGAGACAGATATACTGATAAATAGACACTAACAATAGTAGTAAAACAAATGCGAAAGTCCACTCTAAATCCTTCTTGTCTACTACAGTCCTCTTTAAAAAGATTCTCAATAGGCTATTATTTGTAACTGACAATGCTATGAAACGGATTTAATCCATAGATTTGCAGCCTGTAACGTATTACTAACTTCAATTACAATATCCAGCTATATTATCTCATACAAAGACTATTTCATGTACCTTGTTTCTACACAGAAAAGCAAGAAGGGTGCACCACTGTTCTTGTTTGCCACCACCTCCTCCAATGACAGGAGCTCTTTCATAACCCAGGACACTGACAAATCGTGATGCTTGTCTAGGTGTGTCTAGTAACCGGCCTGCTCGAAGTGGTCGGATATATGAACATACTGGACGGTTTATCCCATTTTCATCCTGAGCATAAAATATGGTTACTTGTCAGCCATACAAATACCACAAAAAATTCATCTTATGTCAGACTCTTTCTTGCACTGAGATCTACTATCCCCAAAATAAATAGCACTCAAGATTATTAAGACATAAAAATTCTCCTAGAATTAAGGCACAATAATTCTTTAAGAGAGACACTGAAGTTAGATTTTTTTCCCACTGGCTCTGCCTCCAGACTAAGAGTTCAAACGCTCCAGACTAAGAGTTCAAACAGTAGGAGCACTACAGGCTGAAGTCCATTTCCTTAAATGAGTGAGGAACTGTTCATGCTCCATCCACAGTCAATTTCCACATGTCATCAAGTCGGGGGAAAAAAAAAAATCGAGTTTAAAAGGTAGTGATTTGCTTCTGAATTTGAACACTACCTCCTTTCATAACACCAAGCAGCAATGAAATTTAATCACAATGAAGTCAACAGATTTACACAAACTGAGAATGGAGAGATGAATAATTCTAAGAATTTCTGATTTCTTGGAAAAAATGAGAAATAAGACTGGAAAAAAGTCTGCTCTACCATGTGTTGCAGGGAAATACTATGATTATCAACTATTAAAACTGTTTTAAGCAGTACCTTTCCTCACTGTGCCAAATGGTACTTTTATATTCCTGTATTTAAAAAGGCATCAAAGCTTGTTATATTTCTGCAGCTTCAGGAAATCATGGTCTGATATTTTTATACTCAAAAGTTATCAGCTACTGTGGTCACATACTGCCCACGTTAAGGTTTTGTCATGTTTTTCCAGCAGGTTGGTATAAGAAAAGCAGCAGCTACTGGAAGCTGACTGGAATCCTGTAGGAAATGAATTCACAGGCAGAAAGCAAGTAGAGATCACAGTCAGGACTCCATGTGTTTTCCAATATAGTCTCATATCTGTAACGCATGCTTCTGTACTATGCATACAAAAGTGGATGATGATGTGATAATTGAACGTCTCTTACAATTCTGATAATCTCATTTCTCTATTTCCACTGGCATTTAGTCTACCATTATAAAGCTTTACAGAGATTGAATAAGATTATTGTCGAGTGATTTCAAAATGCCACAAGTCTCATTTTTACCCCATGTCCCCAACCAAATTTCCAGTTCCACAATTCCCAATCCAATCACAGGTTTTGCTTCCCTACATACCCTGCTTTGAAAACTTTAACCCTAATTTGGAAGCTCACCTCACTACTGAACACTCACTGCACAGCCAGAACAGTAGTTATTTCACTGAAAAGAATCAGTAGGTACCAATTGCTTCAGGAAGTGACTTTGAGATAGCAAGCTACCGCACACCATCCACTCTAGGAAAACTGCTCCTATTCATGTTAATTCATAGCACAGTAAATGCAAAGTATTACACCATTTCTTTTACTAAGGGACAGTTACCAAGGAGCAACTGACACACAGTAACTTATTCCCTTAGTATAATTTGTTCATATGTCTACAGCTAGCCTGCAATTCTAACTGGCCAAATTACTTTACAGGCCACACAGATCTCAAATACTGAGTGGATCATGTAGCATGTCTACTTTTTATAACTGTTTCAGCTGGTATAAAACCTGTTTGAAATAGTTTGTATAAACCACTTGAGTCTTTGTCATTTGTGAGAACTGAAAGGAAAGACTAAACCAACTTTAATTTGTACATTGGGGGTTGTAACGTAGCCCTTATTTCTGTATCGTTAAGCTTCGATAATATGTAAAAGTTCAATCCTCAGAAACTTCATTCTTTGCATGCTACACCAGCTGTAGCCCTGACCTGACTGTAACCACATCATAAATCTATACACATTCTACACACATAGAAACTTCAAAATAGATCTACAAAATATAAGATATCTACAAAATAAGATAAGAACAGATTGCTCTATTAGTAGAATTTACAAACCTGTGCAAAAATCTTTACTAGCCTTATGTTGTGCGTAGGCCTAATCTGTAGGTATTCTCTCCACCACTGTTTAGCATATACAAGAAATAATCGTTCTTTTTCTGCTGTTTTCTGACGTTCCAAAGAAAACTGCAGGTAAGAAAACAAAAACAAAACAATCCCACATATATTAACTCCAAAGACAAAAATCAGAAATTAATAAATATATTAACATCAAATCCTGGCAGAGGTGAAATAAAGCTTTAATATTTAAAACATGCCATACAAATGAAGAATTGTATTTTCAAACTAGAATTCAAGGAATGAAAACCTCAAGTTATGTTTCTTATTAGAAGGCTCATGTAAGCTCATATATCAAGCCTGACTGAAACGGTGTTCCTCTTTAGCAACACGTTTCTGCACAGGATTGCTCGGCTTGTGAAGTGTGGAAGAAAACCTGCATTTACCTGCAGGCCAACATTTACTGGCTTTACAAGCAGGAAAACTGACTGTTTAAATGATTTTTCAGATGAGGGAGAGAGCAAGGAAACACAGCTACTATCTGCAGAAAATTGCAGTGCAGTTGAAGCGCATTGCATCTTTCTTATTTTTCTTCTTAAGGTTTTGATAAAGGTAATTTGAAAACTGCTACAGTAATATTTCACATAATGATCAGTATATAAAAATAGTTTAAGAAAATGTAATTATAATGTAATCAAATTAAAAACAATTAATACGAGACATTCAAAAACCTCACCGGCATTAACATCTACGTGAGTAATTCTATACTGAGTTTTTCCCTCTCCCCCTGCCCATATAAAACAAAACAAAAAAGTCAGCCCACCCAGAAATCACTTACTTGAGTATTAGTGATTTCTGGAGACAGCATCTTATTTAGCTGTGGATACATTTCAAGCCTGATGTTTAAAACACCGACAGAAACCTTTGATTCTGTACCTTAGAATCAAAATACATTTTGATTAGTCTTCTCAAAATCTTTTTACTTACAACATTCCAGCCATACAGGAACAAGAAGTACAAAAAATAATGCCTTTCAACATATGCAAAATAAGTATCTTTATTTAAATGTCACACTAGAATGAGCCAAATGACACTGAAAGAAAGGGTAATCAGACTGAAAAGAGAGGTATCTACATCTTAGACAATTATCCAAGTTCCATTTACAGCCAACACCAGGATATATGATGAGTAGCGTTCTAGATGTGCCTAGAATAGGTACCTAAAATAGATCAGGTGAATCACACTGAAAAAGTGCCTGTTTCTACTGACCACACAGGTAGATCAGACGTAAGCAGTTAAAACTGAGTTAAGTTAATCTTCCCTGAGATACATTGTATTATGAAGGACCCAGTACGCTATAATAATACATTAGTCAAAAAAACAAAAACACTATTGCTGCATAAAGCTCAACATTTAGAATTAGATAAACAGTAAGAAGAAAAAAAAATCAGAGAGATGGGATTATAAGTAATACGAGTAACAGAAGCCTCATATAGGAGTTTGTCTATCTGAGATGACAGTATCTTTCCATATTATTGACGTATTTTGTACAATGACAAGACTTCGGAAGAGAAAAAGCACTGGATTTAGATATTGTTTCTTCATTATTCAGAAGAATTAACAGTAATTAGACTTAACTTCCCCTTCTCCCCCAAGTATCATGCTCAAATTATTTTGTATGCATTTCCAAATAATTATAGACGAAAACCTCTCTACTTGAAAGCCTACCCAAAGCCGTATTACTTAGTACGCTTTGTCAACAGTCAGCATATCCAAAAGTAACTAATGCTGATAAAAAAATATTAGTAAATAAGGTTACTAGATTTGTGTCCAGTGGATAAACACTGCACTAAACCATCCCCCAAAAAGCAGGTAATAGAGATAAAATTTAGGAATAACCTACATAGTAAATCAAATTTTCAAAATACTTTGCAGATATAATATCTTATGAAATTAGAAAGGACTGCTTGCCTAACAGGTCGAGAAACTGTGATAAAGAACGCTCAAATGGCTCATCAACTACTACTTGCCAAGCCTCTGGGAGAGCTAGAGTAGGAAGTCATAATAGATTTAGCCCTGTATCTAGTCTTTATCTTCTAAATCATAATATCCTAGAAACTCCTAAAGGGCCATATGCAGAAGCAATACATAAAAATACACATGTATACTGACTGTGAAGCACTTAAACAAAGCTGGTCCTCCATTCTAGCAGAAACGTGTTTCCAGCAACCAGAACAAATGGCAGCACAGCAGAGAAAACTTCATCTACCAGCTGCTACTTTGCTGTGAAAGGGACACACTAGATCTTACTCTTCAGTACACTAGCCTGAGATTTTCATGGATATTAATCAGTTGAATGCGGGGAAGAGGTAGGAAGCTTTGATAACTTATGCAGATTTTGCAAAAAACACATAGTGGAGAGTTCCCATCTGACAAGGGGACCACTATGACAGAGGGTCTAGAATACACACTTTTAGTATCTTGATAACAGTGAAAAATCTGACCATTGGTCTCCTATATAAATGTTTTCTAAAGATACCTTATATCAATTCATGAGTCTAACCATAATTAAACTGCATACTGCTTTGACCTTATAAGCAAGCTCAATAGCCAATATTTTAAGTGTTTGCATTTTACCCTTATTGTGTATTCTTACCTACACCAAGGAGTTCAACTGCAACATTTGTTACACCGTTCTCTGCAGCCAAGACAGATCGCCACTCCAAGAAATAGGATGCTACTAGTGTAGTCTCACCAAATGTGTCTGTTTTGATCAGAACCATATGCACTGGATCCGATATTGATAACATAGTGGTTGCATCCACCATTTTACTTCCATCACCTGCCATCATTAAACACAGACAGCCAGAATGTTACCATCCCAATACCGCCTTAAAATTAAAGCATATGCATTTACATTCCTTGCATACATTACCTTTTAAGAAAAGTGTAAGCAACAACAATCCCACCTTAAACCAAAATAAGATTAGGACAGAGCTACAGAAAGATTACAACTGATTAATTGACAGAGGCAATAAACAGATTTCTATATTTGCCTACTCCAGTGTAACTCATTTAATTGTACAAAAATTAAAATTGAAATATTATTAAAAAATAAGAAAGTTATTTTTATGTACTAATAAGTAAAAGCAACTGTAGATGCGTGCGTTATTATTTTAATAAGTGGTAACACTTCAGGTCAACTTACTATGCATCCATATTTAGGAAGCAGCTTCCTCTGTAGTTAAGCTCTGACCCTACGAGATAAACTGTTCCATGAGCAGCAGAATTAACAAAGCCTGGTCTTCTCCGAATTCGCAGTATATTCACTCTCTCTCACACAGAGGCCTGCTATAACTCTAGCCTTCTTTCTGTCCTCTGACACTCCATGACCTACCCTGAATTTCTACAGGATTCAGACAGTATCAGCCTCCTCTTCCTTTATCCCAGTACCTTAAGATTCCCCTGTTTATTCCAGAAACCGTTTTTTAAAACACACATAGCTCCCTACTATGTTCCCCAGCTAATAACAGGACAAAGACAGTATAGGCTGTGGATAACTGACTGTTCTGCAGGTGTTTGCCAACTAGCAGGCAGACTAAACTCACGCAGAAGCTTTTCCCTCCATACGATAAAAAAAAGGTCTCCTTTCTTCACTTCTCAGCACAAGGTTCAGGAAAACATGAATCTACCATCTTTGGCACTACTATCTCACTGTTACATCTGGATGAAGTCGGTTAAAAGTTACTTTGGAGTGGAAAAGAAGGAAAATAATAGGTAAGAATCAGTTCTAGATCTAGAAGTAGCGGAACCTGATACAGCAATTGTTTTTCTTAGGAATACATTATAAAAACAGGCAAAAAACATTAAATAATATCAAGCACATTTTAGAATAACTGTAATGTTAGAATAAAAAACGGCATCCACTGCAAACTCACAGTCTTCCTTACCCAGGCTATCCTTGTGTACTTCAAGTAAAAAACCATCATGAAAATCTGGCTCACAGGCACAGGGGACAGGTTTAGAACGGAAGCGCTGATTCCGAAAATGCAAACACAGAGTGAAGGTAGAACAGATTTGGCCAGGCAAAGGCTCCGGTTCCTGAAGATGTTCCAGAAAAGCTTTTCCGCCCAAAACCTGAAGGTAAAGATACCTCCGTGTTGGGTCAATATTAGCTGTAAAGCGTAGCAATAAATATGAAGAAACTACAAACAGATCTTAGGAAGTATGTTTAAAATATCTGTTATCTAAGTGGACAATAGAAAAAAAAAAAAACTCTTTCAAAACAAGTGCTTAGGGGAAAGCAATTTTAAAACTTATGGAAGATAATATACAATAAATGCTATTTTATGTGCAACTAACTTCTGCTGTTTATATGAACCCACTTGCATCTAGACAAGTAAGAAAAACATCTATTTCTGCACAATATGGAAACTTTAAATGAATCCAATTCGCTCTGTAATATTAATTCAAAGAGCTCAATAAACCTGCACTTAATTTATTTTAAAACTATAATCCAAACATTAAAATAAACAAGCAACATACCTTTTTTCAGAACTGGTGGTTCTCTGTCAACAAAATGCGTAGATGGCTTTGGAGCTGAAGTCCTCTCCTTGTCATTCACTTCCTGGAATTGCAATTAGACTTCTTAAAGAATCAAGTGAGGCAACAGTGCTATTCCTGTTGTCTCTTAAAAATTAAAAGAATTCTCTCTTTCTACTGACTGTTGTTTCTCAAATATATTGCCTTGTAGGATTTAAGATGTAAGGGAACTGAACAAGTACTTTCAGTGTAATATTAACACTAAACCAACTCAGTACTTACAACTCAGTAAAGCTAATATAAGCACTTAGAAGTAATTGAGTCTGCACTTTATAGTAAAAGAGCTGTCATAACATCAAGTCGATAATAGGAATAACCAAAATACATTCATGTTTCAAAAGCTACTTACAGTTACAAATTTAAGCTCTTTAATAACATCATCAATGATTCCTCGCTGTCTTAAGGCTTTTATCAGGTCTTCCGTGGATAACTGTTGATGCTCAGGTGCAAACTCTTCACGTATAGTCTCAGCAAGAACTTCTCTGATCTTGCCATGAACATCCATCTGAACAGAAAATTCATCATATGCTAGAAATACATGTTCAAACTCTCATAAGCTTTGTAAATAATACTTCTTAATAACCCCCACAGTATTTAAATTCGCACTCAGCTGTATCACAGCAGAATGCAAGACTGGTCTCTTCAAACTTATTTTCATTTTCCTCCTTGATTGAGGCTTAAGTATGATAATAAGAATAAAAGAAATGAAGCTCCTTATATGGTCACAGTTAGCACTAAAACGTTTCTCTGTAAGGTAACGGGTATTCTCCTAGGAATACAGAGATAACTGCACCAAAAGAATACCTCTTTCTGCACATAAATGTGTACCAAACAACTTTTTATTGTTTAGTGAGAAGTACCGCAGCAAGTCACACTATCTCACCAAAGCAACTGCACCAGTTAAGAGCATTCCAAACCTGAGCATTTCCACTGCTTGTGACAGCATCCCCAGCCTCGAACATCCCTTCTCACCAACAGCCCTGCAAATCCATTGATTATAAAACTTTCATGCTTTTAATTTCTCTTCTCCCTCAAAATTCAAACTTATGGCAATGTGTGTATGGGAAATAAACTGAATGTTTTTGATCAGGTACATCCACCGTCCTATCAGCCCTGATGAGCCTCCACTAGCTGAACAGCCCAAGCCACTGTATCCTTATCGCACCATAGGATGTGTCTTCAACCATCAAAAGTTCTTTGGAAACTGTCAGCCCTCTGATGCTGTGGAGGTCTGCGTGTTTGACCTGCAAGATGAATCTAAATGGAAACCCATGAGCGGAGAAGCAATAAAATCTGTGTGTTCCCCTGGAACAATATCTTCAATTCCTCCTTTTCCTCCTCTTACTTTTTACAGAAAGGAAAAAAAAAACTTTAGATTGTTGCAGGTAAGGCATACAAATAGGGAGCCTCCATCGCAAGCTTTTTCTATGATCATAAAGCCAGAATTTCTGTACTTCGATGGCTCAGCTGTGAAACAGCATGTATTCCTAAAGTTGTTTCTCCCACAGGAACGATGCAAGGCTATAGCCACTGAGACACTGCGATACTTCCGCGATGCGAGCTAAAGCACTGATATTTCTCTCCCACTGTTTTCAAAACCCCGCCCTAGTTTCTCGCTCAACAAGCGGCGAGCAAACAGACGGCCTCCCGGTGCCTCCGGCCGCCGCGGCTCCCCCCCCT